CCACCCACCACAACTCGGCACGCAGGTTCCTAATTACAGAGTTTAATCATTATAGCGTGAAACTGTTAGTGTCGTAAAACAATAATTTCCCAAATCTCAATGCAACGTTGTAGAGTTGCAGTGAAAAGACAGGGTAAATTCCACAGTGTAGTTAAAATGAACGGTGACCACGCCCATCTGGCACATACTGCACCATGCTAGTCAGGATTTGGAAACAACGCAGTTTTGTTTACGTTAAAGAGGCGTGTTAAAGCAGATGTCAGGGAGAACCATGGATAGTGGAGGAGCACTGGGCTCAGTAAAAGGGGTCAAAGGACAATCAGGGTTACAATCTTTAAACGGGGTCACTTACCTACTGATAACTGGTATACGACTAAACTGTTACTGTTTTATGAAAAACCAGCCCTGGCCTCCTTTGATGCTAATTAAAATAAAGTTACATTTTAAACAACATATTAAAAACTCAGTCTTCAGACTGAACTGCCAATTTATTTCATATTAGTGAAATACATCAGGTGGCATTCCTTATGGAACAACAAATTCACTAAGAAAACATTAACGTAATTGAAAAGCCACCAAGGCGCACATTAGAATAAGTAAAAGTAGCATTTGTATAATTTGATGGCAGACATCATTACGGCTGCCTCTTACAAACACAGGCAAACAGCATATTTAACCTGGGATCAGTGTCTCCCTGTGGGCTTGATGAGGAATTGGACCGGTCCAGTTTCATCTCAAAGCCCCGTTGTACAGCATTTTCCCACATTATTTCATGATTTTGATACATTTTGTGCCTTATTTAGTTGCGTAGATGTCACTAAGTTAGAAGGTAACATGTCTCATATCAACCCAGTAGTTTTTAAAGACATTTCAATCCAAAGTAGCTGCTGATCCAAGCCTTCGTGTTCTACCTTACCTGTATTTGTGCACATATTAAGAATATTCAGATTTTTCATTTTGTGCATCCCATAGTTCCCTTCTTTCGGTGAGAACTATGACTTCAGAAGCCTTCATCTGCACTGTTTTCATAGATGGCAAACAACTAAATATTCCATCTAGGTTTCAACAAATATTCTAGACACTCATTATTTGAAAACAATGGACAGTTATTATCAGCTGCCACTGAATGAACAGGCGGGACAATTATGCTTTAGCCTGTGGGAACTTCACCACTTCAGTACTCATCACCAGGGACAAGGCTGGGTCTGGTATATCAGTTCACTTATGTCTTATTTCTACTTTACTCTACTTGCTTCCTTTACTTTGGTGGCCTGACTATCAAAGCACAAGGGCTGGACACTACACTGAAAGCTCTCAAGCTCAGCCAAAAGACTACACCAAGCCCACAGGAACGGCATGTGGGGTGTTGCAACTTCTCCAGTCAAGATTTTTATTTGCCATTTATGCATTAACAGACAGTCTAGGCATATAGCAATTATTGTGCAGCTCTACTTTGGAGTCAGGTAAGGGGTCAAAAGCCAGAAAGAACACTTAGTCTTAAAATAAAAAAGTTACATAAAGGCAACAAAGCATTAAAAACTGCAATACGCATTCATGCATTCATCATGCGAGTCAAGATTTGGGACTTTGCTGAGAAAATTTGGGGCTTAAGTCCCATAAGCCCACCCTGTAGGCCTGGCCATGGTGCCACCTATGCCACAAATGTAACAAAACTGTAAACAGAATAAAGTCCATGTATTTCAGCCAGCGGATTTCTTCCAAGTGTAAGTCACCAGATAATTATGTGTTCTATAAATGTCACTGTACATAACTGGTTCATAAAAGTAAAGGCAGTGAAAGAATATGAGAGATGTAACATGAAGCAATCGGCTATTAGTGCAGTAAAAGTAAGAAAAACAGTACCTGTTCTTTGACAGAGGCCAGGATGTTGTTGGGGGTGCTCTCAGTCTCCATGCTGCGGCCAGTTGAAGTGTCACGGACGGTCAGCAGAAGCCCCTCCTCCGTCACTGGGCTCTGCTCAGGGGCTGGCATTCCTCCTGTGTGGACACACACACACACAAAATATAATCTGGTCACCACAGGCTCTCTTCCTGGAAAAAAAAGAACAACAAAAAGTACACACATACCAGACTGTGTACACACATGTGCAAACACACTCCACTTGTAAATACACATTAAACAGACGCGTAGTCAAGCCCTTTCCAATACACACGGGCGAGTAATGCTGAGAAGTGACTATGAATGGTGACACACCACCACTAGCACTACACAAACACACACCCACACGTGCCATATGGCCCAGAGAGAAAAGACTGTCAGTGTTTCACGTCTGTGACAGTGCAAATCAATGCCATATGGCCCTGAGACAACACGAGTTAAATAATGATTTGTGTATGTAATACAGTCGCATAAAAAAAATACAACTCAAACAGAATGATGGCCAATGGTTCTAATCAAGACACAAAACAATGGAATTTCAAATCTTAGAAATACAAATGCTTCCCTAAAATACCAAGCATGTGTGCACAGGTGAATATAATACACGTTTGAGAGTCAGATGTGGTGGAGATGCTGCAGAAGATGAGCAAGGTCTTCAAAAAAAAAAAAAAATCAACTCGGCAGCGCAACGAAAGAGATAAGATGTTCCTGTCTCATTCGCTCTCTCTGGCCTCTTGTCTGGGATTGAAATGAGAAAGTAGGACGAATAGTTATGGTCTCATTATATCTGTTGACAGAGAAAGTGTCAAGGGAATGCTGCTCAAGGTGGATCCATATTTACTATAAGGAGCCTGTTGAGCCTGACCGGGCGACTAAAGGCTGTGACTGCAGCCTTGCAGCTCCAGGCTGGAACAGCAGACAAAGCAAGGGCTAATAACACAGGAACTATGTGGCTTTAGGGAGACTGGGATTTTATTATGACTTTTACTGCCTTAGAGAACCACAACTACCGTCTTCTCAATGTTACGAATATAAAGGCACATTCCACACTATCTTGACCTATGTGATTTACTTTGCTAAACCACACAAAACGCAGCCAAGATATGTTGTAATGAATCAATAACATCTTTACATGTGAATATGTGGTGGAATATTAGTTGATAATACCACCCTGAAATAACTATGTGGTAATTTACACAAAAAAAAACCCTTACGTTTGCTTCATTAACACTTCACCATGAACGTTTATAAAATTTGATTCATTATGGTAACCTTAGGGTGACTAATATATAATAGTAGCTTTACTGAATGGGTCAATTTAGTGCAGACAGACACCATTTTAAAGGGTTAAAGGCTCATACACTGTCACATAAACGTGCTCACTGACTTGCATGAGGATTCAGTCCTTTAGCTCTGGCTGACAGCCAGTTTGTCTGAGCTGGCTGAGTTAGTTTACAGTGAGAGCGTAAAAGCTTGGCAGGCGGTGGAGTAGCGTGGGATTAAGAAGCATGTGGGAGGTCCCACTAGACATTCGGATGAAACATGACCCTGGGTAACCCCAAGGTATTCTGGGAGTCTGCCATCAAGGCAGCGTGAGCATTTCGAGGTGTCTGAGCTGAACTGTGTCATGTTCCAGCTCTGGTGTTAAATGACAAATAAAATACTACTACCATCAAGTATGTTAGTCCACACAGGATATTCCAAGTATCCCCCTCTGTCAGTGTTCCAAATTCCTTTCCTGCTCATTCACAGTGCACCGACTCCCTCCCGCCCTCACTGCAGCCTTTGAATCAAGGACATGACACTTTATTCTTAGGAAAAAACAGCATCAGGAAATGTGAAAAGCTGTTTGAATTTGACACAATGCCTCCTCCCTGACAAACGCAGAGCAGAACAACACAGACGGGACTGGCAGAGTGCAAATTCTAAAACTTACAGAAGTTGCCAACCCAGTTGGGGACAAACAAAATCCTTCCTGCTCTTTCTCTCCGGATCTTCACACAGAAGGACAATGAGAGGCATGTGGCTTTGGAAGCGATACACTGTAATGGTAATTGTCATTTATAACCGCCACGGATTAAGTATCATGGTTGACCTTTTCGTAACGCGTCACTCTTTCATTTGACTATCAAAGAAAATTCCTTACACCATAACCAGAATCTGTGTATATAATCAGTCCAAATGAAAAGCTCTCAGCAGTCAGCGCTAGCCTGAAAGAAAGTGCACACTAGGCACACTGACGGAAACACAGCCACAGAAATAACAACATACAAAAGGGAAAGCAAACCCCATCGAAGGGCACCATTACGCAGAGAAAAACTGATGTGTATCTGAGACTACTTCTGAAATTCCCCATTACATCTGGTCCAGAATGATTTCACTGCTTAGCTTGGGGTTCTCAGCAGCTTTGAAATAGGAGCGAAGACAACAATGCTGCTGCTGCCAGCCTACCACAGTCCTGTAAACACACGGCTGACTGGCTCTTCAAGATTTCTCTTTGTGTTTCCCTCCAAATGCTGAGGGGGGGAAAAATAACCTTGCTGAACTGCCTGGTGGTTAAAAACCTTGGTATGTCAAGCCCTTAGACAGTTTGAGAAGCGAGAACAAGGCTGAGAAGTAGATGAGTAGCTAAGGAGATGAGCCCAAACTGTGCAGCTTTAAAGGCTGTCATTAGGCTAATGCCTGGGGACTATAATGCACGGTTCCCACAGATTAAAAATGCCCTCATTCTGG